AAAGGGCTGATGTGTTTCCAGTGGCTCACAAGCCACCTCCTGATGCTGGGATGACCCCACAGGGTGGAGGGTGCCCCCAGCTCTTTGTTCTGCTCCCCTTTCAGGACTCTGCCTGTAAGACTCTTGTTTCTGAGAGACTCTTCTTTTGTCTCTTGCATGTCCAGTTTGGAGGCACCTTCTGCTGTGCACTGCCTGCCTGCCCAGGGCCATGCAGAACTGGATTCTGACCTCTCCGCCCTCCATCACAAACACTTAATGGCAGCATTCAGCATCCTGGGGGCTTCCTCCAGCACTAACAACCCACTGAAATTTGCAAACCAAATGCACCTATGTGCTTTCTAATAGGTAAAACTAAATTGAATTTTCACAAGCTTTACTAACTGTAAATTAATTTTAGAATTAATCAGGAAATGAGGTATATTGTAGATCAGTAAATTCTGAAGAAAAATCTATTTGGACCATGATAACCTCAGTGTCCTTCTGAGTGGACCCCTCCTCAGTGATTACTCAGCAGATACTCTCTCCTTGCTTCCCAGCACCTGCTGCTCCCAGAAGGAATTCTTCTGCCCACCTGCCTTCAAACCTGACATGGCGGTGGCACAGACAAATGAAACTGTAAGCAACGTTTGAACTCCAAATCCAATCACCAATTTGCTTCCTTAGCAAAACAGAAAAAAATCCAAAACCAAACAACAAAAAAAAGAGCATGTGCTTGTTTCTTACCACCTGTCCCACTGGAGAAGGAAACTTCACATATGGAAACAGCAATATTTTTCCCAAAGAAAACTATGGCAAGAAGAAATCTAGGCATGAACAAAACCAGGTACCTGGACCATCCTCTAATGCACAGGATGTGCAACTATTTTAAACCTCTGTTGCTGAAACCCGGCTTCGCAAAAGTCCTCACTAAATTCAGATAATTCTATTAAAATGAATTATAATTTCACATGAAAGAAATCCTGGCCCTAGCTTCTAATAAACTCATGTCCTTGTCCACCTATTCACCACAAATTGAAATAAACACCTGCAGGAAGACAGGAGCCTTTGGCACCAACCAGCCAACCTCTGAACAAGCCTATTTTTTGCCATTTACATATAATTACATACTAGCCTCCAAGCAGCTAGAAGCTCCATGTTCCTTTTTTTTTGTATTGTTTGTTTCTTGTGAACACACATAGAGCACAAACCCAAACCACATTAATGATAACCTTGTTAAATATAAACTAGTATGCAATTATACAAACTGCTAACACAAACAAAAAAGTCAGGGAACTCTGATTATACGTTCACAATGGTTTCTGAAAACCAAATAACAACATAAGGCAACCTGTCTTGCCTGATACTGTAACAGAAGAAGGTTTCATGTTATAACTTCTGTGTCTCAGCACACAGGACTTGTCTGTCAAACAACTCCTCAAATTCAATTTCAAGCTCACTCACTGCAAGGAGAGCAGAAGGGTGGGAGGAAAGGCAGCCAGTGCACACATGAACTACCAAAAAAATCTAATTTTCCTCCCTGCATCATCCTTCACATGAGCTAATGCCTGTCCCTAGGCAAGTGCTGTGACTTTCACCCCGTCACCCTGAGAAGGGCTGGCTGTGTGCTGGGGATTTGGCTCCTTCCTCTCCATTAAGAGAGCAGCAGAAGGGCTGCTGCAACCCTCTGTTCTTGGGCTTGTGCCAGCCCGGTGCATGCCTGTGATTTAACTTCTGTGCAGCACGGGTGAACCCAGCAACCAGAGCTCCTGCCACACCTTTTCATTAAGAACATGAGCTGCTAACGCTCTGTGCAAGCTCCGTGGTCTGCAGCTGCCTGTTCCCGGTGTTTAAAAATACACACTCTTCCCAGAACAGAAAGAGATCTATTGAAGGGAAATTATGTCCTGGACCGCACATGTGCAGCATCAGGACAGCCAGCAAAGGCAGGGGACACTACCCAGAGCTCTCCTGCACCAGTGCTGCAATGGAGAGCCTCAAAATTGTCAGGGCAGTAATGCAAAGTCTTCACCACAACTGAATCCAGCTCTCAGGAAACCAAACAGTAGAAGACCAGCACCTTCCTTGCAGCCTTCATCACAAGAAATTATACAGCACAAATGACAGCCGCTATAGGACTGGAGGAGCATCCTGGAAAGGTTTCCTTAGGTGACTTCCCTGGCCATGGACTTGGGCTATCCATTCAGTTTGTTTGCATGCTAGCAGCACAGCTGAACTTGCAAGACTCTGGATTTCTAGGTTGTAAACAAGAACAGTAATTACCTTTCCCTCTTAAACTCCACTCTGTTCTCATGTAATAAAAAAAACAAACCAACCAAAAACCCCACATAGGTAGCTGTACAAGACCTTCAGAAAGTGGGGGAAAGAAGCAAAGGGACTAAATGACTGGAAGAGGAATAGCTCAGTGAAGTGATACCAGTGAGATCTAAGCATCCTTCCCAGAACCAAGCAGAGGATCAAAGCGTGCAAGAAACAAAAACCAAGGATGATCCCTGGGAATCAAGAAAATTAATACTGGAGTCCTGCCTCAATAATAAAAGCACTAAGTAAAAGGTCGAGAAGAACCCAGTCTCTTGAATGCTTAGTTCAAGAGTAGAAAAGCACTTCCCAAATCATGGTCTGTGGGTCACTTCTCCCCCACAAGGCTGTGGGCAGAATCACATCACAGAGTGAAATGCACGAGTGTGTGTGTGTGTGTGTGTGTGTGTGTGTGTGTGTGTGACACAGCTGTGCAGTTGATCCACGGAGCAATTAGAGGGTTGTCACTGCAGAAATTGTTTTGAGAGACACATGACTGGGAGAAGAAGGGTGATAACTCACCAGCAGGCACGCTGCTTGGGAAGGTGGGGCTCCCACTAGCACAGCACCTGAAAAGGGGCTCAAAAAAGCCACCAATACAACCCAGATGGAAGGGGGGAGGGGGAAAAACAAACAACCAACAGTGGGGCATGCAGCTAAGATAACTTTCCCCTGGAATACTTCCAGTTTCTCCAAGCTGGTTGGTTCTGAAAGGGACTTTTCTACAGCGATCTATGCTCAATTACCCTTATAAACCCTTGCAATAACATGTGACTCAAAGTCTACCTATTTGTCCAAGGGAGAAACAAGGAGGGAGTGTGGCAAATGGGGAATGTGGGAGTGGCTGCCGATGTGGGCTTGGGGAGCACAGTCATTTCCTCCAGCTTCTTCCCCCCCTCCGTCTTTGATATCTGAGTATGTTGTTGAGGAAGTGAAGGAAGGTGATTCTGTATCCACAGGCATTCACATATTTTTACATGATTGCACCGACTTAGCCAGAAGTCTCAGCTTGAGAGCTGAAGCAGGTGAGGGTGTTCCTTAGGGAATTAAAAGGCAAAAGAGTACCCGGCGGCGAGAAACGACCCAGAGAACCAAAGTGCTTGGAGATAAAGAGCTTATTTAGGGTGGTAGCGAGACGCTGCTTGAACCATGCGCTCGCACCGTAATCCGCGATTTCCATGCAAAGATTTCCTTCCCCTTTGCGGGCTACCAGACCTGGCTACAGCTCACTTGACTCAGAGCCGGTTCCCAGCCTGCTGTCTATAGGACAGGCAGCACGGCGGGCTGAACCCGCCACCAGAGGGGAGCGCGGG